ACGACCGTGGGAGCACCCACTCTTCTGCTCAGTTCCCTCCGTCATCATGTTCAGCTGGTAAAAACTAGGTGGGCTGTGTCAGGTGGGTGTGTAATGTGCAACACTACAGGTCGCACGCAGGAAACTGGGTTTGCTCTGGCGGGAAATGGCTATTTGCGTATCTGAAAATGGAATGTGCCTTCCTGACATTTTCATAGCCCTGCAGGCAGGAGTAACCTTCAGTGGGAAACTGAACRGTTAAAGACACGGGGGGGAGATGGGGCAGAAATCAGAGGAATGTGATTGCAAGGAAGTGGTGAATGATTGGAAATGGAAGTGAATAAAAAGGCAGAACTAAAGAAAAAACAACTTCTGAAATGTATAAAATTTTTTAAAATAAATTATARTAATAAATAAGATATATGCTTCTTTTATGAATATGTTGCCGTGTTTACCTATATTTTAAGCTGTTCTGCTACATGTAGCTATTGCCTTTTACTACATTTACCTTTGCGAAAGTTTGCTTTGATCTCGTGTTTTTTTAGCCACTTCAGTAAAAAACAGAACTGAATATTAGTTTCTTCATCATCAGTGATTTTTTAAATAAAAGAGAAGAAGGGGAAAAAGAGAAGAAAAAGGAGAAATGTAATGGGGAAGATTAAAAGAGAGATTAGATATGTGAAATATAAACCAAGGAGTGAGGCCCCAATATATATAAGTTTTTTTGTAGGGGGGGCCATACAAATAAATAAATCACTATGGAATTAAAAATTCAAGATGGGAGTATTAAATTTTGTGTGTCATAAYTAAGAATGATTTTAAAAAATGTGCTAAATGCTAGTAGAAGTAACAGAATGTAGAAATAGCTGAAAAAATCTATACCAAATTCTAAATGGTAATCCAAAATTCAAGATGGCCACCACAGCTAACTTTAAATGGCTACAATTCAACAATTTTAAGACTAATTGAGATCAAATTTGTTGTGGAATATATAATATATATATGATTCTGGAAGTGGTCATTCAAATACATCTGTTACAAAAGGACAACTGACATTACCAACTTTTAAAACTGTTACGGCCAGAGGTCTTTCTTCTATGTTTATACTAAAGCATGGAATGACATTCCTCAAAACATGAAGTCCATTTCAAAACTGCAGCCCTTTAAGAAGAATCTTGTCTGCCATCTGCTGGACACTTTTTGTTGTGCTCATATTTAGATGTCCTATTTTGCAAATGCTGCCTTCCTGAAATTTGGTAYGCTTGTTTGTCTTTGTGTCTATGGTGTATAACGATGTGATTGTGATGCTGTATTTCTGAGTGTTTTATGTGCTGCAGAACAGGAACCTGCTGTAAAACAGCAATTATGCTGAGTCATGCTTGATTTTTAGTAATATTTTCCTGTTAAATCAATAAATCAAATCAAATCAATGTTAATGCCAATTTCACCAAAGGCTATAATTCAGCACTTTTTAAACATACACAGCTAAAAATAATACAGTGCAATAGTATTGGAGAGCAATCTTTAACAAAATCTAAATAGAAATTCGATTATTTGGAGGTGGGGCCTGGGGTGGCCAATCAGCTGCTTAAAGCTAGGCTAATTCAACAGTTTTACTAAAAATATAATTTCTCTAATTTATTTAACTGTTGTTTATTTGGACAATCCAATCAACCATCYGAGTTAATGTTTTGTGAAACCAAAAAGCCAGGAACCCACCATTTTTCTGTTTCAGGAAACATTTCTACAGAAAACCAGCAGACCTTTCAGTGTTTCCACTTCATCGCGCCTGTGTGACTTTTGGAGATCCAAAGGCAATATGCAGAGAGAGGCAGAGCCTCAAAGCAGAACATATTAGAAAAGTCAGTAGAACAAGCAGCACAAAATGATTTCCATGTGATGCTGCAGCCAAACGAGGTTTGATTATATCAGCAGATGAAGCAAATAGACCCTAAATTATGACCAACCTCATTTCCTAGAAATTACTCCTGCAGAACCATAAAGACTGCTGGAATATTATTTTTCTTTAATGCACACTTTTTTGTCAGGAGGATAACAATACCACTGTAATGAAAAATTCCATAAAGACACAAATGTAGGTTGTTCAACTTCTCTTTTGTTGCGTCGTCTCTGTGTCATTATGTGGGGGTGTAAGTTCACGAGCGCTGACCATTTCATTTATTTAAACAGAAAAGATATTCTGATGTGGGTAAAAATTAGTTATGAAAATGTCCACTGGACTCAAGCCTTTGTTAATATTATTCCCTCATTCCCTGCATATTTATTCAGTGTGCTCTCTGGGCCGAACAGACACATCCTCACATGATAATATTTTCATTGCTGAATTTTTTTCCTGAGATCTGGATTTGTTTATTTTAAAGCAACATTTGAGATTTCCATCCATCCATTATCTTTTACCCGCTTCTTCCTTTTCAGGGTCACTGGTGCACATTTTCAGCAGTCATGGTGTGAAGAGCGGGGGTCCACCCAGGACAGGTCAAGCCCATTACATTTAAGATTTAAATTAAGCTACTAAAGCACTTAGAAATTGGTAAACATATTGATAAACCCACTGATGAGGTTAAAATAAAAAAAAACCTGTGTTTCTCTGTTCTTATCTTCCAATGAAAAATGAAGGCGGACAATCATGTTTAAACTGCGTCCGTCTGTTAGCGAAATATCTCACGAACCACAGGATGAATTTTAGTGAAACTTGCACAAAAAAATCACAGGATGAACATTTACAACTGATTAGCGTTTCGAGTCAACCCAATTCAAGATGGCTGCCACAGYCGGCTGTCCTGTAAAAACACAAAAATGGCTACAATTCSATCAGTTTTAGAGGWAATGGCCTAAACWTTGGTGTGGTAGTCGCTGAGACTGATCTCTAACACTCTAGTACTGTGAACTTGACAACTCTCCATATTGCTTGAAATATAGTGAGTAATGTTGCTTTAGTGCTTGATCAAAGCGGCTACAGCCCTGTCATTTCTCAACATGAGAGGCGACAAACGTGCATTCTTTTTGAGGTGGCTTGGCCGTTAAGTGTTAGAAAAGAACTCAATGCGATCTGTTTACAAGATGACCTCATTTGTTTCTGTTTTCACAAAGTTGAGCTTCAAAAAGAGATTTCCTGGCTGTGTTTATTTTGTTAGTTTTAGCAGAATACCTGTTTTTTTTTTAAGTTGCACACAGAACAGTGCAGACAGAAGGTAAACAGAAGGTAAGCCTCTTCACACTGATAGTGGTTCAGCTGGGAGCCGAGTGGGAACAGATCTTTTTTTGCTCATTAATATGTAGATTTTTGCTTCTGCTTTCTCCCATTGGAATAAGCTTCTGATGGAGTGTTGCAGAGAGCTGGAAGGCTTTCTGCCTCGACCGGTGCGGCGTCCCAGGCGGCGGGGTGGAAATGCTGTGAAAGTCACCAGCAGCACCAGAGGTTAATTGCCACGTTGTAAATCATTTAGGACAGTTTGGCTTTGGGTGCTGGTGGCAAACGGCTGCAGTTAGAGGATGTGGCTGCCGCAGCGGGTCGAGTTTCTCACATTGTAGGTGACTGAAACATGATTGAGACACAATATTGAACACTTGGAGTAACTTCAGTCGCAATGAGGGCCTCTAAACAGATCACTGTGAGCTTAGAAACTTAATCAGTGCACGTTCTGATTAATCTTTACAGATTTATTTAGAGCAGGGGTGCCCAAACTTTTTCCCCGAGGGGGCCAAAATGAAAATCTATCCATGGCTGCGGGCCAAATGCAGTAATATAATACATGAAATACAAATACTTTTTTAAGTAAAGTCCTTTATTTTTAACGATTAAGCTGTGCAATGGCCCTCTTTTGTTTCAGTCTGTGCACACGGAGAAAGTCTGCCATACGCTCAAGTAGCAAAGGCTCATGGGACATTTTATAAATTGATAAAATATGAGTTTTTGTGGCCTTAAAAAGTGTGCAAATCTACATGCGGGGTTAAATCTGATCTAAATATTTCTTGTTGTCGTTTCATGTTTCATGTTTAATCCTAATAAATCAAAGATATGTCAGCACCATGAMTGAAAACTACCTTCACTACAGCCCTTTTATATAGTCATTTGACCAATGGAAAGACTCTGTTTCTACCTATAGGATAACAGGCTACAACCTTGTAACTTTGGCAACTGTTGGTGGGCCAAATCAAATGGCTTGGTGGGCCAAATTTGGCCCGCAGGCCCCACTTTGGGCTCCTCTGAATTAGAGACTTGAACCTTGAGCAGGAAACTGACCAAGAAGCTAAAACAGTGAATAGAAACCTGGCTGCTGCTTTGACAATTAGTTCTTAGTGTGCATTGCCAATGCAATGCACACTATTGTGATTCGTTTCCCATCCAAGTCATCTCAACTTTGCCATGCTTCTCCTCCTGCATACTTTGTCCTAGAGCTGCCATTGTAATTTATATCTGTAAAGCTCCTGTGCCAAATGAAGGTTATGCCTTTTGATGCCTGTAAAACTTATAGTTTATGAAATATTAATGTTTAATGAATTATAATGGCAGTCAATGGAGCCTTGTATTGGTCCAATACTGCCCCCTGCTGTACTCAACTTGGTACTGCACCATAGTTTAATATTTCAACTCAGTAGTTCAGTGTTTACAATACTAATATGATTGTGTTTTGATGTTTTACTATAATATTGTCTTAATACTGCTCGATTGTTGTAATATTATGCATTTTTGTGTCAATAATTGTATTGGCAATGTGGCCTCTTTCTGCACACATACAAACCAACCCGTGCCACCACCTTTTGCTACAGCTCTATTGGTCTAATGGTCTATGTCATGGGCTTTCATGTGGGAGAGCAGGGTTCAAAACCTGGCTAATGCAACTTTAACAAAAAAATCTCTTGAAATTTCATATTTTCACACAATTACCTTAATTACAAACACCTGCTGACGTGACAGGCACAAGCTGGTATAGAAAACACATTTGAACTTGGTCAAAGTTCATTCTGAAAGTCCACTGCTGCAGGCAAAGCCATGCTACATGGCAATGCACACTTGTTTTTACATCGTAAAAACCCATGTCTAGTTTTTATTATTTTTTTCTTAGGGTCTGCCATATGGAGACAAATGTGAAAGTCAACGGCAGGTTAATGAAGGTGATGGTCTCACACGTCGGAGAGCAGCTGAGGCAGGAGGACAAACTTATGCTTGAGGTGAGAACGATGGTCATGGACAATGGGTCAAAAACATCTGTAACTGCAAATAATTGTGTTTCAGGAAAAGCAAGTGCAAAGTTGCTTAAAAAAACTCATGACGTACATTTAACTTTACTTTATTATCTTTTGAACAGTTTTCTTCTTCGACATGCCTTTTAGAGCAGTAAACAGAGAAGTTATAGATGTATAAATCACTATATGACACATTGAAAGCACAATCAGCTAAACTTAATTATAATTAAAATCAGATTTAGTTTTGTGTTTATTGAAGCTGTCATTGCCTCTAAATGTAATTGCGGACACCGCTCATTTAAAGTTCAGACAGGAAATGAATGATATTGCTGACAAATACTTCTTTTTCCATAAAAACTACTTGAAGTTACGACTCTATCCAGTCAGCAAAGTTAAATTTTGGAAAATGTTTTTAATATTTATTAAAATGCTAACATATCCCCGCATCAAAGTAACATTTTAAATCAACCCCGAGGACCCCCCCCCCCCTCCTCCATCTTTAGCAGTGATTCTTCATTTGCTAACTGTCAATCAGTCGGTCTCACAGCTGACATGTTGAAATTGGTTGAGTCTGAAGGAAGTAAAGTCTGACTGACAGAGCCTTTGCTTGGTGCTTATAGAGCAGTTTCTCATAGGAGGTCAAATATGTCTGACGTTAGAGTTTTTTTCTCCTYGGCAGCTCATTTAATGTGTTTTACGTTTTTGTTTTACAGAGTTTTACAGCTGACTGCGCACAAATTTTCACCATTTATTTGTGTTACTAGAAACTTATTTATACAATAGTCATTTAAATTAATTTTATTTCATTGGATTCAATCTGAATCTGACTAGATTTAGCTTTTAGCTATAATTGTGTTACATTTAGCTTTTGGCTATGCTTTTTATGTTATCCTTGTAGCTATAGTTTTGCTACATTTGTGGATACAATCACATTTGGATAACATTTTGTATTTAGCCTTTAGTTATGGTTTTGCTACATTTAGCTTTTGAAAAGAGCTTTTTTCTATGTTTAGCTTTTAGCTATGGTTTTGCCTCATTTAGCTAGGGTTCTGCCAAAACTTGTATTCAGCTGCAATTTTGGCACATTTATGTTTTTGCTATAGTTTTTCTACATTTAGCTTTTGACTATGTTTTTTTTTTAATGTTTAGCTGTATGCTATGGTTTTGACACATTTAGCTAGGTCTCTGCTACAAAATATATTTAGCTGCAATTTTGGCACATTTAGCTTTTAGCTGTGGTTTTTCTATGTTTAGCTTTTCGTTAGGGTTTGACCACATGGGTAGGCCTACTGCCACAATTTATATTTAGCTGCAGTTTTGGCACATTTAGCATTTAGCTATATGGTTTTGCTACATTTAGCTTTTGACTGTGGTTATTCTATCTTTAGCTTTTGGCTATGGTTTTATCACATTTAGCTAGGGTTCTGCCACAGTTTATAGCTGCAATTTTGGCACACATAGCCTTTAGCTATAGCTTTGCTACATTTAGCTTTTGGCTATGCTTTTTATGTTAACCTTGTAGCTATAGTTTTGCTACAATTGKGGATACAATCACATTTGGATAAAATTTTGTATTTAGCCTTTAGTTATGGTTTTGCTACATTTAGCTTTTGACAATAGCTTTTTCTATGTTTAGCTTTTAGCTATGGTTTTGCCTCATTTAGCTAGGGTTCTGCCAAAACTTGTATTCAGCTGCAATTTTGGCACATTTATGTTTTTGCTGTAGTTTTTCTACATTTAGCTTTTGACTATGTTTTTTAATGTTTAGCTTTATGCAATGGTTTTGACACATTTAGCTAGGTTTCTGCTACAAAATATATTTAGCTGCAATTTTGGCACACGTAGCCTTTAGCTATAGTTTTGCTACATTTAGCTTTTGACAGTTTTTTTCTATATTTAGCTTTTAGTTATTGTTTTACCACATGGGTAGGCCTACTGCCACGATTTATATTTAGCTACAATTTTGGCACATTTAGCCTTTAGCTATATTTTGACTTTGGTTATTCAATGTTTAGCTTTTGGCTATGGTTTTGCCACCTTATACGGTTCTGCAACAAATGGCATTTGGTTTTTGCCACATTTAGCTTTTATCTAAATGGTTTTGCTACATTGAGTTTCTGGTTGTGATTCTCCTGTTTTAGGTTTTAGCAATGCTTTTGCTGTTTTTATCTTTTATACTGTTGTTTTTTTATTTTAATAGCTCGTATAACATTTTATTCTTCCAACACATTTCAGCTGCCATTCAGCAAACTGCATTTTCACAGAATTTCTCTGGCTCAGCTTGATCAGGAACTATATTTTAGCTTGCTGTCAGSTTTACAATTACTTGAAAAGCACTCTTATTGTGAAAAAAAAAAAGAATATTACTGTCAAGAAACCTTTCAGAGACGAGAAGAAATAAGTATTGAAGGATTTCAGGTTTGACAGACTCAAAGCAAGAAGATTTTATTTACACGAGAGAAAACCGTCTCATAAATGTGCAGAAGGTGTTTTTTGAAGGTACATACAGATGGTGCTTCCTGCATAGCTTAATCTGTCTGAGACACATTTAATGAATGATAAACCCAAGTGTTTGTAAAAATAAATATATCTTGGTTGTTAATGGAACTACTCAAGACCTCAGAAGCATTTAAACTAACATTTCTGCATTCCTGTTTTTTTTACCTACCACTTCAGCTGCTCTTTACTGAAGTTAATCAGCCTCCTGAAGTGACATCGTTCCTTCACTCGGCCTCTTACAGCCCAGCCGTAGTCGACTCCGCTCTCTCTCGTCCATTAAAAGCGCCTTTTAAAGATGAGTTTTAAAGTTCACGTCGGCCGGACGCGGCTCGCCACTTTTGTTGCTGTGGAAACCAGGTTGACACATGGACAGACTGTTGAGAACAGTGTGAGTGGGAGTTTGAGAGGCTGCAGAGAACTGACAGGTTTTATGGATTGTACTCTTCAGTTGCACAGACTTGTGGCCCTTTAACCACCTGGAGGAGAAAACAGAGCGCAGGATGTTTTCAGTCAGGCTCAAATGCAGAAGATATGAAACGTTCAGGTCAAACTTCTGCTGGGATCATTAAGGATCAAATCTTACAAACAGAATATCCAGCCATTCATTTTCCTTTACTTCTCCTACAGATTAAAAATAAATTAAATTGTTCAATATTCTTCTGAATTAAACTCACAGTTCCTTAAAGAAACCAACAGACAGAAGAAATGTCTGGACGTTCGGCTGAGCGGCCTGAAAGTTGCCCCACATGTTACAAACAGGGCAGTTATCTCGCTGTTATTCACACAAATCTCTGCCCCCATCAGTAAATAGAATTTAATGGAGCAATTAAATAGCAAACGTGAATTGAAGCTGGTGTTTTTGGTTGTGTAATCAGCAGCTCTGCGTACCAAAACTGTTTTAGTTGGACGACAAATAAAGAAAGCTTGTTGGACGCAGAACATTTACGAGTCTGAGAAAGTCGAGTCACGTGTTCAAGCATGGATATCTGAGTCATACGTTCAGCTATATGTGCTGTTAAATAACACTAAAACTTATTTATTTTAGTTGATTCTGATAAAAGTTTTACTGTGTTACTATTACAAGTCATTAAAATATAAAAGTTTCCTTCAGTTTAAAAGCTGAAGTAAATAAAGGTGTATAAAACAAAAATCATAAATACTTCAAATGGTCTGGTCAAAGTTTTTATAATTAATCTACTAATTTTTTTGAAGTTCTTTACTCAAAGGGTACTTTAATTGTCAAATAAACAAAATTATAGTAAGGGCTCACATGGGTTTTGTAAAGTTTTTTTTCACTTTTCTTGTTATGGCAAATCTTTAATTTCATAATGTAACAACTATATTTTTTTTAATACACAACTGAGTTGTGTTTTCTTTAGCTTTAAAAATGTTTTGATTGTATTGGATATATTGAGAAAAGGGGTGGAAAATGATTTATTTGACCATGAAGGTTGCAGACCTCTGACATACTGTATGGGCCCCATAATGTAGCTCTGGACCTGTGGATCATGAACCAAGCAGAGGACCTTGAGGAGATCTTTAGAAACTGAACTTGGTGAATAATTGCTAAAACCATATTTAGCTTTAATGGTTACAAAAATTTGTAAATTTGATTTTAAAAATTTCATGTTTGACGAGTCTTTGTAAAATGAGTCTCTGCAGCTTTTATTTTGTGGCTCAAAAGCTAAAAAGTTTGGGAACCACTTCACCTA